TATAGCCAGTTTTTTCACGAATTTAGTCGGCTAGTTGGGTATTTGAGACAATTCAGCCGGTTAAATTTTTGTTTTGAGGACCCTTTTTTTTATTTTTTTTATTTATAGATCCATTATTGTTTTTAACATATATTAACGATATGCATAAAGCTTCCCAAAAAATATCTACAACTATGTATGCTGACGATATAAATTTATTTTTTAATCAGTTAAAAAATAAATTTATATCGTCAAAATTTAATGCAAAGTCTTTGAAAAAAACTATCTTTACTCTTTTTCATAAAAAACAACAATCAATTAATCTTCCGTTAAAACAATCAATTAATCTTCCGTTAAAACAATCAATTAATCTTCCGTTAAAACAATCAATTAATCTTCCGTTAAAACAATCAATTAATCTTCCGTTAAAACAATCAATTAATCTTCCGTTAAAACAATCAATTAATCTTCCGTTAAAACAATCAATTAATCTTCCGTTAAAACAATCAATTAATCTTCCGTTAAAACAATCAATTAATCTTCCGTCAAAGCTGTCTAAACTGTTTATTAATAAAAATAAAATTAAACATGAAAAATACACAAAAATTTTGGGAGTACTTTTTGATGAAAATTTGTCATGGAGAATCCATATTGGTCTTCTTAAAACAAAGATGTCTTCTGTAATAGGCGTTTTGTATAAGTCAAGACCTTTTCTCGATGGTAAATCACGTAATATGCTTTACTTTAGTCTTGTACATAGTCAACTTTTGTACACAAATATTGTATGGGTCAGCACCCATAAAACTAAATTGCTAAAATTTCAAAGTCTGCAAAACCATGCATTTAAAGCAATTAATTATTTAATTAGGTTAGTAAACCCGGCCCCAGAGATGAAAAGCATGATGGCTGACAATGTTGCATCATGATCCATTCGTGTGAGCAGAACTTAAGAGGATAGTCTGAAAAAGTAGCAGCTATTAGACATTCATAAAAGCGAAAAAACATGTTGTTTCTGTTCAACAGGCGGTATTCTCTTCAAGTGAAAGAAAATGAGTTGGAAAAAAATATTAATGTAATTACACAAACTAAGAATCAAGATATTCTTTGAATAACACGTATGGAACGCAAGTCTCATTAACCTGTTAAAGAACGAAGGAAAACCTTAAGAACAATAAAAAAAATCTTGGTATTGAAACCCAAAAGGATCAACTGGGATATGAAGCTGGGGGCTTTTGAGGTTTATTTACTTTGTAGTTGTCTAAAACTAAAAAGAATAATTTTAAAACTTAAATTACTTAATTTTTAGTTTTCGCACATTTTCAAAAGTTCAAAATACTATAATTTTAGTTAAGTACCTGATTTTTACCTGAAATTTTCGCAGTTTGTTCATTATAGTTAAGAGATTCATTTATGCTATGGATATTAAATAATGATAATGATAAACAGTATTTTTATGCAATAGAACATGCAATAATGTTGATTTTCAGTGCAATGTTACTCTGATATCATCACACTGAAACATGTATTTTTCAAAACCACTTCCTAGATGTTTAGTTCCATCATTTAAATTTTTGGCATCTAAAGTAAATTTTTTTAGTAATCTTGTCACAAAATTTTCATTTTTTGACTCTAAAATGCACAAAAAAGTATGGGTAATTGAGGCAAATTACTTTTTTTTTTTTAATTTATCAATATTTATTATATATATATATATATATATATATATATATATATATATATATATATATATATATATATATATATATATATATATATATATATATATATATATATAAAAGTAAAACGTAAAGTCTTAGAGGATGTAATTCCTGAAGCTACTATTCATATTTTGGTACACGCGGTTCAATGTTGAATTGTAAAAGAACAGTGAAGAATTTTTAAAAAGACACTTGAAGAAAACATTCTTAAATAATACTTTTTTTTATCTCTTTTTCTTTGTTTGTGGATTTACCTTGTAAATATATTTTACAGAGGGTGATTAATAAAATATTAAATATATACATATATATATATATATATATATATATATATATATATATATATATATATATATATATATATATATATATATATATATATATATATATATATATATATATATATATATATATATATATATATATATATATATATATATATCTTGACGATAAACACTTTGCATGTGGAGTGTTTGTGGACATAAAAAATTTTGCATTCGACACGGTCGACCACAAAATCTTACTTAAAAAACTGCAGTACTACGGTGTTAGAGGTATTTCTTTTCTCGTATCTCTATAATAGAAAACAATTTGTCTCAATTAATGGTATCAACTCAGACCTTGCTAACTCTTTTAATGGTGTTCCGCAAGGCTCGAAACTAGGACACTTACTTTCTCTCCTTTTTATTAATGATCTAAATGTTACACTTAAGTATTCTACTGCCTACCCTTTGCGGATGACACCAATTTGCTCCTAATTAATAAATCTCATAAAAATCTTAATAAACATATGAATCATGATTTAGCCAACATCGTTCAATGGCTCCGCTTCAACAAATTATCCCTTAACTCTAAGAAAACAGAAACTATTATATTTAAATCTATTGAAACAAAAATAAATAAACAACTTATTTTCAGAATAAGTGGCCAGAAAATAAATCTTGTTAGTTCTATAAAATATCTTGGTATCAAAATAGATTCTAATTTATCCTTTGCATAATTTTAAATAAATTGCATCTTCAAGACATAGCATTAAAATTAAGGCGATTGAACGGAATGTTATCTAAAATCCGTCATTATGTAAAAGTAGAAACTCTGCTCAACATATGTCATGCTATTTTTCATACTCATCTCATATATGCTTGTCAAATCTGGGGTCAATCTCATCGCCATGTTTTTTAAGGCTAACTCATCTACAAAACAAAACCCTAAAGTATGTATGTATGTATAAATGTATGTATAAGTGTATGTGTGTGTGTGTATGTATGTATGTATGTATGTATGTATGTATGTATGTATGTATGTATGTATGTATGTATGTATGTATGTATGTATGTATGTATGTATATATGTATGTATGTATATATATGTACACAACTATGTGTGTGTAAGTATATATTTTGTATATATGTGTGTGTATTAATGTATGGGTATGTGTATATGTGTATGTATATGAATGTATGTATATATATATATATATATGTATATATATACATATATGTATATATATATATATATATATATATATATATATATATATATATATATATATATATATATATATATATATATATATATATAAATATATATATATATGTATATATATATATGTATGTGTGTTACGGATTTATGTATATGTGTATATGTGTGTATGCAGGCCCGCCCAGAGCTTTTGTGATGCCCGGGTCCAAAAGTTTAATGGATGCCCTATCATACTTCAGGTCTTAAAATAGCAAATAAATTAATATAGTTTACTTTCATAAAAAACCTAAAATCACATTTAATTTTGGTTTGCAAAAACAAAATAAGATAAAATCAATTCTTATTTGACAAACACATCTTCCGGGCCTTCTTAGCGGCAAAATTTGAAATAACTTCTTCATAATTAACGTTAATGGCTAAATCTGATTCGATTGAAAGGATCATCAATCGCTCTTGGCCCATTGTGGAACGAAGATAACCTTTGATGATAGCTAACTTGCTGAAAGATCTTTCTCCTTCAGATGTTGAAACGGGCAATGTTAGAAAGATTCTAAGAGAAACACACACTTGCGGAAATATTGAATGCAGCCCCTTTGCATAAACTTCATTTAGAAGTTCGACAGGCTTTTCGCTGGCTAGAATATTTCTTCTTACGGAAAAAAAATGCCGAACTTCATCAGAAAATTCGTTTTTACATAAGTCTTCTGGGTAAAGTTTAACCAGATTCTCAGCTTTTAAACATAGTTCTTGGTCTGTTTGAGATTTCTGTAAAGACCAAAGGAAGGAAAACTTGCTACAGACCTCTTCTATTACTTTAAATATTGATCTCATTTGACTAGTCAGATTGTCGAGTGCAACATTGAAGACATTACACTCAAAGTTTTTTGATGCTTCTTCGTGGTTGTAACCAGCAGTTTCATCTGGGATGATCTTTTTTCGCGTTCTCTTCACAGTAAACATTATTTTATCAAATTTCAAGTTTTTTGCAACTTCTGTTGCCTCTATCTGCCTCAGATCCCAAGACAGACGGATTCGATCCAGATCCATCAAAAGGCCATTTAGAATCTTTACTTCATCATCGAGAGTGAGTTGAGTGGATTGAAGCAGAAGACTCACGTTGTTAACTGTCATCAAACATTTAAACCAAAAAGTAGTGAAAACAACAAATTCAAAAGAATTCATCCATTTAATGAGATAATGCACTTCATTACTACTTTCGCCTGGAAGGTCTAACTCTTTTAGACGATGTAATGATTTTAAGATCTCTTGGCTTTTTTGCTAGTGGCTTAACTGATTCAATCCTTGAACTCCATCGTGTAACAGAAAGTTTATGTAATGATTGGCCTGTCTCCTCCTGAAGAATTTTCCAACGAACTGGGCTGCTGCTGAACAGATTGTATAGCTTTTGAATATTCCCAAAATAGGTTTTTGCAGGAGCCGATGATTCAATAGCGTGTACTGCACATAAGTTCAAACTGTGAGCAGAGCAAGGAATGAAAATTGCTTGTTGATTATTCTGTCTTATCAAAGCTTGAACTCCATTGTAAATACCTGCCATATTAGCGCCGTTGTCGTAGCCTTGACCACGACAATTTTTATGTCGAGCTCATTCTCTTCCAACACATTCAATATCAACTTTGTTATATCAGATCCCTTCTTCTTTTCAAGTTCTTCTAGCTAAAGGAACCTTTCTTTGACCTCCCACAGCTGATTATCATTGAAATGCAAAAAACGAAAAACAAAAGTTATTTGCTTGCTGTGGGGAGTGCTGTCCGTGATGATGGTAAAATATATTGATTTTTTGATTTCTCGAATAACTTCTCAAACCACTAATTTGCCGCATTCCTTGATAAATTCATTTTGTGATTTCCAGGATAAATAATGAGCTTGCATGCGTTTTTCTTCATCTTGGTGCTTAGCACTAAGATGCATATGATCTTGTAATGTTTTGTTGTGGCGAGCAATTAATTCGAGCGCTCCAAAGAAGTTTCCACTCCCATTTTTGAACAACTTTTGATTGGATCCTAATTACAAACAAAAAATAATCAAAATAGTAATCCATATTTATATCCAATTAAAACTTGTAATTTTTATTTTTAAATTACAAATAAAATAATGCAAAATATAATTTAAAATTTAAAAACAATATTCTTACCCCTAAAAGCTAAGTTTCTTGAAGCTAGAAAAATTGTGACGTCAAGAATGCATTGTAAAATTACTTTCCATCGCTTTGTTTCATCTCCAATTTGTTTTTCTAACTGATGCTCAATGGACTTTTGACTTTTCAAGTGAATCGTAGCTGTTTTCCATTGGAGATAACAGTTACGGTGAAAATCGCTTTGTTGATGACTTTTAACGCGATCTGAAAGTTTTCTCCATTTTCCATGTATACCTCCATTCCAAGACAACAAACTGGATTGAACACCGGGTCTGGTTAAGTTAGGTGATCCAAAAAGGGAGCAAGGGAAACAAAAGAGTGATGCCACAGCCTTACTCCAAACGAGCCAATCTCTTCTAACTTTTTCTCCGTTTCTTTGTTCCTCTAAAAAGATATAAGTAGGGAATTTGCGTTCTTTTTGATCTCTTGGAAAATTGCTAGGATTTGAAGAAGGACCCATCAGAATTATATTCGTTCGATCAGTGTCTGATATTGATTTCCATAGTGCAGGATCGTTAGAGATTTGTATAGAAAGATCACTTTTATAAATTTGTTGGTCATTGTGACAATCAAGTACAAAATCCAACTGATCCTTTTTTAAATGTGATGATGTTTTTTGGGAGTAATCGATGTCATCGCAAGAAAAAGTTTGTCGGAATTATGGTCTGGCAACTCATTAGAGTCATTGATACCGATCTCAATATCATTGAACTATAAAGAAGTATTAAACAGAATTATTCTAATTATTTTTTCATGAACGTCATTAGATTTAAAAATAGTTTAACTACCTGCTTGCATTTATCTTCGATTTTTGTCCAACGAACGCAATCTAAAAGCGTTCGTTTGTTTTTGCTTTCGTTTTTTTCAGAATCATCGCTCTTTTTCTCCCAGCAGCTCCAGACAGCTGGTTCAATCGTGGAGGTCTTTGATTATTCATGCTAAAACTTATGACGATATAAAGAATTTTAACTTTTTAAATTTTAAAAATTAAAAACTTTGTAATACTTTGGTGTTATTAACTGCAGAGAAAAATTCAGTACTTACAATAAAAATATCCACTGAAGATAAGTTTCTTGTCAAAATATAGTTGGAACAAAATGCAGGCGAGTCAAAAACATTCATATGCTCAAAAGTATCCACAGGGACGCAAGGTTTAAGCAAAAATAAGTTAAACTATTAGAAGTTAGGCTTTTACAAACGTTAAATAAGAAAACTTTTTTTTAACGCTTTTTATTCTATCATGCGAACCAAAGGCCAATGAAAACGCGTGCGTTCAAATGGATAATGAAAACCTTGTAAAGTAATAATTATCCTACTTTAAATGCAAACAAAGTTTAAAAGGAGAAAGAAATTAATACACAAAAATTGCTTAATCTTTAAATACGTTATCAGCTAAATTTTTTATCATTTCAATAATTTTTTTTTAAGGCATGTGATGCCTCATAGACTTGATGCCCGGGGCAAACTACTATATATATATATATATATATATATATATATATATATATATATATATATATATATATATATATATATATATATATATATATATATATATATATATATATATATATAAATATATATATATATATATATATATATATATATATTTATATATATATATATATATATATATATCAGGGGCGGATACAGGATTTTTTGAAGTTTGAAATAACTAACTTCCAGACATGGAGCGAACTCGAAACTTTTATATGTTTATAGTTATATCAAATATGGATACTTTGCAAAAAATTGAGATGATAGGAGCCTGGGAACAAAAAAGCCCCAAAATTTTTGCTACACCTGCCCTAAACGTGAGAGCAACAAGTTGATAAAATAAGTTTTTTACTTTTCTCAACTAAATCTATATTCATCGAGAAATTTTTAATTTTGTAAAACAATCTTTTAGCGTTCAATAATAATGGTCTTATAAAATTTGTAACCCCCTCAAATTGAGGGGGATTCAAACTTTATGTGGCTATAACTTTTGAACGTTAAGAGATTATTTTATGAATTTTAAAATTTCTCGATGAATATAGATTTAGTTAAGAATAGTAAAAAAATTATTTTATCAATTTGTTGCTCTCACGTTTGGGGCAGGTGTAGCAAAAATTTTGGGGCTTTTTTGTTCCCAGGCTCCTATCATCTCAATTTTATGCAAAGTATCTTTATTTGATATAACTATAAACATATAAAAGTTTTGAGTTCGCTCCATGTCTGGAAGTTAGTTATCTCAAACTTCAAAAAATCCAGCATCCGCCCCTGTATATATATATATATATATATATATATATATATATATATATATATATATATATATATATATATATATATATATATATATATATAATATATATATATATATATATATATATATATATATATATATATATATATATATATATATATAAATTATAAGTTTTCTCATGTATTTATCATGTTTGAAGTAAAAAAATCTATTTAAATATTGTAAAATACAAAAATAATTTTTTTAGCAGCCCACCTTAATGTTAAATATACAATAATACATTTATAAGTGCTTTGCATAAAGGAAATGTCGCGCTTTGATCAAGTGTCATCTTGCGTTTTCCTGGTTTTGCTTGATTTTTAAACATAGTATTAGGAATTCTTTAGCTTATTGTCCATTATGAAAAAATATTTATTACCTAACATTTGAAAATAAAAAAAAAGATTTGCTTAAACAAAAGAACCACTCCCCGGCGGGGAATCGAACCCCGGTCTACCGCGTGACAGGCGGGGATACTTACCACTATACTACCGAGGATGACGTTAACTTTATTGTTTAAAGTTTATATCAATTTATATATTTTTTTTAGCAAAATCTCAGCATTAATGCTATCCCAGTCAGCAACTTAATATAATATTATATTACCTTAATATGCCTTAATATACCTTATATATACTTAATATAATATATTATATTATAACTTAATATAATATAATATATTATATATATTATATTATATTAATATAATATATTATATTATTATATTATATTATATATATTATATTAATATAATATATTACCAATAACAAGTTATAAAGATAAAAATGTTAACTATTTTACTGAATACATTAAATAAAAAATAAAATAAAAAAATATATATAAATATAATATATTTATATATTTTTTTTTATTTTAACAGAGGCGGTGCGAGTAGGTGTCACGTGGGGGGAGGGGGTGCCATTACAACTTTTTCCGACTAAAAAAAAAAAAAAGGTCCTCGTTTTTCTAAAATTTGCCGACTGCCTTGACGACATTTATCGACTGTCTAGATTACCAACTAACCTGTATCGAAAGGGTCGACATTTGCCGACTAACTAGTCTAAAGGGTCCAATTTGCCGACTAAGGGTCCAATTTGCCGACTAAAAATCATTGTTAAGGAGGGGGGGAGGGGTGTTACACCCCCACCCCGGTTTCCCCCTATCGCGCCGGCCTTGATTGGTGATTAATGTTTTAATTAGTTAATTAATTATTATTTATTTGCCAGAATATGTACAAGGTAAATTTACATTGAATATATTACCGGCAGGACTTCTAGAAGATCACAGGATCTTATCATGAAGCCCTTTACTATCTGTATAACAAAAAGAATACAATATTCTAATATTCTTCACAGTCTATATAATAAACAAAATAAAGTATATATCAAAATAAATATAAAAACAACTTAAATACTAAAAATAGATATAAATATTTTGTGTTGAAAAGATAATTTCTTTTTCTTTCCGTTTAAAAGAAGAATAAGACCATTTAAAAGCAAAGTCGAAATTTGGTAAAACTATTTTATTCCTAAGAGAAGGACCACGATAAGAAATACAAGACTGGTCAAATTTAGTTTGGCAAAATGGCTCTTCGATACTTTTACTGGCATGAAGATTATATTTGTTTTTAGGTTTCAAATTATAAAGATTTATAAATACATTAGGTGATATATTTTCTTTATATTTAAACATAAAACATAAAATATTCAAAACATTTAGTTCGTAAATATTCAAAACTTTCATTTCTTTATGAAGTGGTGTTGAGCTTGAAAAACGATTTGCAAAATTAATTGTGCGAGCTGCGTGTTTCTGATATCGATAGAGAGATTTAAGTTTGGTTTTGTGAGCGCTTCCCCATATTATATTTGCATAATTTAAATGGCAATGGGTGAATGAATAATATAGTTGTGTTAATTGATGTTTATTTAATATATGTCTAACTTTATATAGAACTCCAATGCTTTTATCAACTTTTATTGAAATATAATCAATTTGTTGCCTCCAAGATAGGTTTTCATCTATTATAACTCCTAAGAATTTTGTATTTTTTAATTTTGTAATTAATTTAATTTTGTAATTAATTTAAAACAATTAAATCCAAAGAAAATATTTACAAAAAGATAAACAGAATTTCGAACTAAAAAAAAAACAAACAAAAAAAACAATTCCCTGAGAACAAAAAAAGAAAGAAAAAAAAAAGTAGAAAGAAAAAAGTTAACCAATAAAAAGAAACAAAAGAAGAAAAGAAGAAGGAAAAATAAATAAAGTTACAAGCAAAGAATAAGAAGATTGGTTGTTTTATACTTATTTTTTTAACAGTTTAATTTGTAATAATATATCATAATTTTTTGTGTTTCTAATTTTATTATTATTAATTTTCTTGAATTATGTTATTATTTTTTAAATAATATTCTTTTATTATATTATTATTTTTCATGTATTATATGATTTTTCGTTAATATAATTAATAATTTTTTGTTCGATGTTTTTTTTTTTAGTTGTTGTATCTTTTAATATTATTTATTTATTAAACATATATTATCTGCTATTATATTAATATAATATATTATATATATACTATAATATATAGTATATATTATAGTAATAAATAATATTATTTATTACTAAATTAACTATTAAAAATTTTTAATACTATATATTTTTTATGATGACTAGTTAATTGTAATATCCTTTATTTTTAAATTATACTATATTTATTATTGATTTATGCCATACTTTATATATTATTGCTTTGTTTTTAACTTAAATTTTTACATGGCTATTAAGTACCATTGTAAGTTTTGTAATAAAGCAGTGGCCAATCATCAAAGAGGCATTTTATGTGACTGTTGTTCTTCTTGGGTTTATGCTAAGTGCAATTCAATCAACAAATTTTTGTATAACCTTCTGATCAAAGACTCTTCTGACTGGTATTGTAGTGACTGCATAATTATGAATATGCCATTTGGCACACTTTTGGACTTAGAACTTTTTTTAACTATATCATGTCAGACTCTAGTACCTTAAATTCTTTAGAAAGTCCAAATTACAATTCAAAAACTTTTTTAAGGATATAAATAAAATCTCTAATTCTTATTCCAACTGCAAATACTGCGATATTCTTGATCTCAATAAAACTTTAAAGTCAAATTCTGAATTGTACCTTCATCTAAACATTGGTTCTTTGCATTTTCATATTGATGAACTTCGCAGTCTCATAAGTTCACTTACGATTCTTCCATCAGTATTTGGAATTTCGGAATCAATTGTACATTAACGATCTAAATATAACTGACATTACTATAAATGGTTATAACATTGAACAATGCTCTACTGAAGCTAAAAAAGGCGGTGCTCTTCTATACTTACAATTCAATCTAAACTACAATGTCAGAAGAGATCTTATTGTGTATGCTCCAAAATACCTAGAATCTATCTTTATTGAAATCATCAATCCTTTTAAGAAAAATATCATTGTTGGCTGCATATACCGGCATCCTTCAATGAACCCAAAGGAATTTATTTCTGATTATTTTAATCCTTTACTTGAAAAACTTAGTTCTGAAAATAAACAGGTTATGTTAATGGGTGACTTTAACATGGACTTACTAAACTACAATTAATCCCTTATTATTACCTTGATTCACTTTGTTCTTATTCTTTTTACCCAACAATAATTCAACCAACGCGAGTAAATAATTAAATGAGGTGTCTGATTTAATAAAAAATAGTTTACAAAATGGTAAAAGTTTAGGACCAAATAGTATCCCCACACACCTTAAACTTACTTCTCATGTTATTTGCAAGCCTCTCTGTACCATATTGAATAATTCTTTTAATAAAGGTCTTTTTCTAGATGTTTTTTAAAATAGCCAAAGTTATTCCTATCCATAGAAAGGGTTCTCTAATGGACCACAGTAACTATCGACCAATTTCTCTTTTATTTAACATAAGCAAAATATTTGAAAAAGCCATGTACAACAAACTTTGTAGCTTTCTTGACAAAAACCAATGTCTTTACAAACATCAGTATGGATTTCGTAACAAACACTCCACAACTCATGCACTTATTAAAATAACTGAAACTATTAGAAATGCTCTTGACAATAAACTTTTTGCATGTGAAGCGTTTCTTGACTTAGAGGAAGCCTTTGATTTTGTTGACCACTCCATCCTCTTAAGTAAATTAGAACACTACGGTGTTCGAGGTAATACTCCGCAATGATTTTCATCATATCTTTTTAATAGATCGCACTTTGTCTCCATCAATGATGCCAAATCTTTTCCAATAAAATATTTCACGGGTCTACCCCAAGGTTCTGTATTAGGACCATTGCTTTTCTTATTTTTATAAATGATCTTAATATCTCTCTAAAATTTTCAACGGCTTACCATTTTGCTGACGACACCAACTTACTTATAACAAACAAATCATTAAAAAAAATTAACAAACATATTAATCGTGATTTATCTAACCTTCTTCAATGGCTGCGCTCTAACAAACTAAGTCTTAATACCAACAAAACTGAACTTATTATTTTCAAATCAAATCAATCTAAAATGTATAAAAACCTAAACTTTAGACTAAGTGGACAAAAAATCTTTTCCGTAGTTTCATTAAAATATCTTGGAATCCAAATTGACTCAGATCTATCTTTTTCCTTTCATCTTAAAAACATAGCAGTAAAATTGTGTAGATCAAATGGGATGCTAGCCAAAATTCGCCACTATGCCAATTATGAAACTCTACTTAATATATATCATGCAATTTTTGGATCTCATTTTAGATACGGTTGTCAGGTTTGGGAAAAATGCAAGTCTAATGCTTTTTTAAGGTTATGTAACCTACAAAACAAAGTTTTAAAAATAATATTCTTTCAACAGTATCATTCTAACTCTGACATCCTCTACTTTCTATCAAAAATACTCAAATTATGTGATCTTGTTTATTTATTAAGTTGTCTATTTGTCTGGAATCATAAAAAAGTAAACCTCCCTGCGTCATTCTCCGATTTTTTTACCACTAAAAAAAGTTCTCGTTATTACCTTCGATCTTTGAGTAACTTTAAATTATCTATCCCAAATCGCTGTTCGGTAAAATACGGTGATAATTCTATAACAAACCAAGGCGTAAAATCTTGGAATAATTTACCTTTTCATTTTCAATCCCTAAACTCTTTTTCATAATTTAAAACCCGTCTTTTTGACTTTTTGATAGAAAAATACTCTTATTAAAATCTTAGGCTTTTAATAGATTATTATTACTATTGTTATTAGTAGTGATGTGCCGGGTACCCGGTTCGGAACCGGGGACCCGGCAATTCGGCTGTTGTACCGGGTACCTGGTATCGGCCATTTTGTTGCAGTACCCGGTACCGGGTATCTTCAAACTGATTTTTCCTTTAGTTAAAACTTTAACCATTAAACTTTTTGATATAAGTCTAAGAGTGTTATGTAGTCGATAACCACAAAGTTCTATTAACTTAAAACAATCTCACTTAAAATATTTTTTAATACATTTCTGCAAAAAAATTTATACGGATACAAAAACTATAACGCTAAATGAAATAATTCGAGAATACGAATAAAAAGAATGAGAAAAAAAGTTTTAAAATAGCTTCTTTTTATTCTGTTAGAACACAAAATAATTTTGCCAAGTTTTTATTCCAACTTTTAAAAAATGCACTCGGTGCCGAATTCCCGGACTCGGACCCGGTTTTTTCAGGCGGGTACCCGGAATCGGAGACTCGGCATAAACTGGTTCCGGCACATCTCTAGTTATTAGTATTATTATTACATGTGATCAGGGCCGGATTTACCTATAGGCCGACTAGGCCACGGTAAGGGGGGCCAAAATTTAAGAAACATAAAAAGTTGAAAACTAAAAATAATGTGTAGAAAAATCAAAAATGTTGTGCCAATGTTTGCAAATTTGTTCGGCGCACTTATGCCAGATTGCACTTGTGACAGTTTTTGTAACTGCTTCTCCTGTAAAAGATGATCATTTTATTTTGAAACTTGAAACATTTCCCGCATTATTTACAAATATTTTTACGAATGACGCAAATGATAAGATAATAAATTTGCCGAAAACTATAGCCGGGATATAAAGTAAATATTTCAATCGAAAGTCATTTTCAATAGATTTTTCATGGCGCAATCAAACCATTATTTATTTAGAAAATTTTATTATTATTTGGTAAATACGATTTCAAAATGCGCACAAAAAGTACGTGACAAACCTTATTCAATTTGTTTTTGTAATAAAAAAAACAAAGTTTTGTTATTGTAATACAGAAAAAGATTTTCTGAATTTATGAGTTGCATTCTAACTTAAAAACCTTTGTCACAATGTGGTTATATGTACCAAAGCTTGACGTTTTTAATGAACAACAAAATTCCGCATATGATGATGATGCCATGAGAATCGTGAGTTCCACCGTGATCGAGAGGTTTGTCTAATTTATACGGTTCTACTCGAATAACAGGAGCTGTTTTTTCAAATTGTTGTAATGGTTTATTTTTATCCATGCGTTCAAAAATCTAAACTCGTTTTTTTCACTTTATATAGTTTTTCAAGAATCATTCACTTAAAAGAATGTCGTTAATCAGCAATTTTAAACATAGAAAAATTTTTAAAATTTTTAAAATGATAAACATTTTTTAAAATTTCAAAAACACGCCTTGCGGTTGCCGAAGAAATGACGTCAATGGTAGCCGAAGATGAACACAAAATTGTATAGTAGTTCATCATCGTCAACGTTTAATAATATTTAAAAATGTATAATAAATCATCATCGTCAATGTTTTTTTACTTTTTAAAAAAATAACAAGTAAAGAATAAACCTTTTAGTTGCTATTGAAAAAAACGTGGCTTCCCGCTTCAGTACACATGAGTTAGCAACTGATTTCTAAATAAAAACCGATTAATCATTGCTTTTAATAAAAGCAATGATATATTATGTATGCTTAATATTAATGTTTATAAAATATATCATTAATTAAAAGACGTTTTTAAAAAAGACGGCAATGTTAACGTTTTTAGTGTAATTTTTTAAACTTCAACATCAAATTAGAGTACTTTTCTCAAATTTTTAAGTCTATGTTTTTATATGATTCTTAATTAGTATAAAATTCTTTAACATAATCAATCATAAAATAATAGGGGTAGGAAACTGAAACAGTGCCTATATTTATATATACAAAAATATATAATAAATAATAGATCTAATAAATGGGGGAAGGGTTTTATTAAAAAGGAGGGGGGGAGGTAATTTTTTTATATTACAATATAAGTATTTTTTATAAAAAATTTCAGTTTACAATTCAAATTAATGTTTTTTTAAAAAAAAGGAATAAAACTATTTAAATCTAGCGTGGCTTGCGGTCAAATGCACTTTTTTCAAAAAATTTCAGTTTATTTCTTTATAATAATTTCAAGCTTTATAACAATTTCAATAGGATTTAATATACTGATAAAAGCTTTATACTTTTGTAAGAAATAAATTAAAAGCTCATTTTTGATAAATCAAGATTTACTTGGTTGATGATTTTTAAAGCCTGTTTACACTGAAAATTTTTGTTTTATCAGTGACTGAAATAATTATTTTCTAATTTTTAAGTTCGATTTTCACTGATTTTTTTTTTAGTTTTGATATCTACACCTTTCAAGATGTAATTGAGAACTTGAAAGTTGTAATTAAGAAACGTAAGACGTAATTTAGGGCATGGAAGATGAAATTAAGAAACGTACGATCAGGGCCGGCTCGAGCAAGCGCGAGGCCCGATGCGAGCTTAGTTTGCGAGGCCCTCAAGTGAAAACCTAAAAAAAAAGGAGGGGTTAAAGAATACTAATATACGAGGGTAAAATCGTGTTTATTATTAAATATATATAATCAATAATTTCACTATATTCTATTAAATAAAAACATGCTTTAATATTTTTGCTACGAAAATTGTATATAAGTTATCTGGTATCACAAATTGGTTTTACAGTAAGCTCTTTCACATATTTGAGAAGCACTAGCCATCTTTTTGTAAATGCCAAAAATAAAACATACAGGTGAAGAATACCGAAAAATGTTATAGCTTCTGGGCAAATTTTGGCTATATCTCCCAATAGGAGATTGTAATTATGACATGTGCAAGGTGTAAAAAATGCTCTTGAATTTTCTTTTAGCAATCTAGCCTGAACCCCCTGAAACCTTTCCCTTTATTTTAGAACTGTTGTCGTAGCCTTGCCCTCAAATGTCATTAATGTTTAGTCCTAAAGATTGAATTTCTTGTTTCAACACAGAAAATTGGTTTTCTCCTGTACTGCTTTCTACATGTATAAATTTAATAAACTGTTCATATACATTGGCACTTGAACCTGGTAGTGTACCGTCTGAAACATATCTTAGGCTAAGAGACATTTGTTCTTTAGGACTAATGTCTGAAGTACAGTCAAGAATAACAGCAAAATACTTTTTTTTTTTTATTCGTTCTATAATTTTATTTCGAATTTTACTGCCTATTACATTTATAATTTCATTTTGGATTGTTTTCTTAGATAATGTTCATTAGTTGTTTTACTGACAATTCGCTTTAGATGGTCCTGCATTATTGGATCAAATTTTCTAAGTAACTTTATAATACCTATAAAATTTCTATTTCCTGCATCTCCTTGTTTTTTAATAAGTCCTCAAAATGCTATATATTGTGTTCAGCTAAAAACTGAACCACAGAAAATAGTCTTTCAAAAATTTTATAATAATTAATTTTTTCTTGATTGAGCAACTTTTGCTGCACTTTATCAATTGTTTGTTCAGCAGACAGTCTTTTTTGAAGATCTGTACATTTTAACATTACTATCAAATGATTTTTCGAGTTTTCATGTAATGATAATCTTTTGTAAATATTTGACCAGTTATTAAATCCAGAAGTAACAAGCGCACCAAATGGTACTCCTACACTAAATAGTCAACAATAAAATAAAAAATCCACGGACGAACTTTCTCCTTTTGAAAGCTTTCTTTTCAAATGCACTTTTGAAAAATGTCTTCCATTGTTTTGACTGGGAAAATCATCTGGAAGAATTTTTGGTGGTCTTTTCTTAACTAACTAGTTTTATTTTGTATTGCCACTTTCGAATTTTCTTCCTATATCTCTACCTCGTTTTGTTTGTTTCCGCATTTTAATTAGATGATCTAGACAAAAAAATAAAAGATGCCATAAGTTATAAAAAAAAAAACTTTCAAAAAAAAAAAGATTTATTTTCTTAATAAACATTTTCAGTAAATAAGGAACAATTGTTTTTAAAATAACAAATATAAATATATACTTTGTATTGATTGACTGGCTAGATTAACTTAAAGTTGACAAGCAATTTTTGTGAACTAAACCTTCGAACAATAAATTTGTTAAGACCATATATTTTGATTCGTTTCTTTCATTTTTTCTAATGAATACATCAATAAAGTTTTATTATCACGGCTCCGTATGGCTGTATTGTAAGAACATTTTAAAAAAAAAACTTAGTCTTTATCTGAACTCGCGGTTTAAATAGAAAACATTAAGTCTATAAATACTCTAAATTTTTGCGTGAAGTCGCCTAATGGTTTGAATGGTATATTTGAAAATATTTTATTTTAAGAATTATCGTAAAATAAAATATTTTCAAATATATTTATCGAATAGTTTTAATACTGAAGTGTTCTAATATAATGTTCCAAAATTGACTTAAAAAAATTATTTGTCTTTTCTATTCTTTCATTAGCATTCTAATAGTCTCCGCGAGGCCCTTGTTAGCGCGAGGCCCGATGCAATCGCTTCACTCGCATCACCTCTTATCCAGCCCTCCGTAAGTGTAATTTAGAAGATGAAAGTTATAAATGAGAAACGTAAGATGTAATTTAGGGTAGGCTCTCTTGTCAAACCGTTATTCCGACGCTGTCCTCAAGGTCCGAAAATGTAAAAAAACGACTTTTTTATTTAAAAGAGAACCTGCCTACTCCAAACCCACAGTCGTTGTTTCCTCACTCCGCTGCATGTTTTCTCCAAAAATCAGTCGGTGTATGTGCACACCGCAGCGCAAATCTCTATATACCCCATTTCACCTATTTTCTAGAAATACAAGCTCACGGACGCAAAGGACGCTCAACGTCGGAATAGGGGTTTGACAAGAGAGCCTACCGTAATTTAGAACATAAAAGTTGTAAATAAGAAATTGTAAGATGTTTTCATATTTTTATAAAAAAAATTTTTTAATAAAAATATGAAATCATATTTTTATAAAAAAAAAATTTATAAAAATTATGGATCAAATATAGTCAAATAAATAAATGGGTTATTTTAGATTAAAATAAAATGTTGCGTCATCGTGACAACGCAAATTTCTTTTCCTTATATATAAACAGATAAAAATGTTATTAAAAGGATTTGTTTTTGTTATTTAAATTTACGTTTGGTAGCTTAGTTTGAAAAATATTAATATTAACATTAAAAGATATTTTTGTCATACGTTTATGCATATTTATTTTATTATATTTTTGCCTTTTTTTTACAATTTTACAAAAAAAATTTACAATTTTTACGACATAATTTTTAAAGACGAGTTATAAATATCGTGATATAAATAAGATGCGCATATATATATATATATATATATATATATATATATATATATATATATATATATATATATATATATATATTATATATATATATATATATATATATATATATATATATATATATATATATATATATATATATATATATATATATATATATATATTTACACACATTTATTATATATATCGTGATATATAGAAGATGCACACATTTATTTTATATACTGTATTATATATATATATATATATATATATATATATATATATTATATATATATATATATATATATATATATATATATATATATTTACACACATTTATTATATATATCGTGATATATAGAAGATGCACACATTTATTTTATATACCGTATTATATATATATATATATATATATATATATATATATATATATATATATATATATATATATATATATATATATATATATATATATATATATATATATATATATATATACATATATATATATATATATATATATATATATATATATATATATATATGTATATATATATATATATATATATATATATATATATATATATATATATATATATATATATATAAGATGCAAATAATAGTAAACAGTTTATTCGGATTTACATAAAACCGAGGTTTATCAATTATTGAGTATGAACGCAAAAAACACCTGCTTAAATCGCAAATTCTCAAAAACCATAAGTTTTATAAGAATTTTTGTATTAGCATATAAATTAAATTTTTTTAAATGTTATTTCTAAAGATAAAATGCTTATTAAAATTTTTACTTTGAAATCTTTAAAGAGTAGTAAATACTCACACATACAAGTCAAATTTTGACTTGTATATGTATGTATATATTTGAATGATTTTATATATATAAATTGTATCGTGGGGGAATAAAGTGTCACTTTACCCCAAGAATCAATAAATTGTTGCTTACCTCTGAACCTGCACATACATATGAGTATACATATAAAATTTGTTATTTTTATTTTAGAGTAAACTGGAAACTAGTTTCATAAAAATGGATGATTGTAAACTTTGTTACACTGTGGCGTTTGCAACAATTGTACCAGTGTTCTACTACTTATTTAAAAAGCTTAACACTCATGCCATGTGCACCACAAATACTAAGTTAGATGGAAAAACCGTTATAATTACGGGTGCTAATACAGGTATCGGTAAAGAAACTGCGATTGATTTAGCTAAACGAGGTGCTACAGTTGTAATGGCTTGTCGAGATTTAAATCGGGGAGAAAAAGCCTTGGAAGAAGTTAAAAATTTAAGTGGATCTCAAAAGATTTTTTTGAGAATACTCGACCTTGCATCTCTTAAATCTATTCATAATTTTAGCTCAAATTTTATAAAAGAATTTGATGAACTTCACATTTTGATTAATAATGCGGGAGTGATGATGTGCCCTCACTGGAAAACAGAAGATGGGTTTGAAATGCAATTTGGAGTAAACCATCTTGGTCATTTTGCTCTAACAAACTTGCTCTTAAAACATATGATAAAAACAAAGGGAAGAGTGATTAATGTCAGCTCAATGGTATATGCTTTTGGCGTTATTAACTTTGATGACATAAATTCGGAGAAAAGTTACAACAAAATTAAAGCTTATAATCAAAGCAAGTTGGCCAATATTTTATTTACTAGAGAGCTCCAAAACAAACTTGGAAGTTCAAACATAACCACATACTCTCTTCATCCCGGAGCAATAAAATCAGATTTACAGAGACATGTTTTCTTCTTACAATTTTTACCACGTTTCTTAGGTGTGAAGAACGCGATTGAAGGTGCCCAAACTACTATTTATTGTGCAACTAAAGAGGGATTAGAAGAGCATGCAGGAAAATACTTTAAGGAATGCCAAGTGACCACGTGTTGTCACAAAGCATTTAATGACCTCTCGCAATTAAAAAAATTATGGGAAATAAGCGAAAAGTTGACTGGAGTTGCATTCCCATTATAATTGTTCACTTTACAAAGTTTAACTTTTATTAGTAACTTTTATAAGCTCGTAAAACTTGAACAAAGATTTTTTAATTGTCTGAATCTTTTTAAATAGCTTTTTGAAATTTTTTAAAAACTTATTTTTGTTAGTGTTTGTAATAGTTCTTTAAAAAACAATGAACTAATTAAACTTAGTTCAAAATATAGACAGCTACTTGCGGTATTCTTTTGATCAATAATAAATTTTTTTGCATTATTTTATTGTCCGGTCCGATGCTGAGTGCACAAATTTTTTTATGTTGATTATTTATCTAAGAATTGCATCTAATATCATTTTGTTCATCAAATATTTTTATTCAATACTTTGCTATCTATGGATACAGTACTACTTTTTTCTATTTTATTTATGGATTCATTTATTTTAAAGGGATCCCTAAGTGCTCCTAACATATGATCTCATATGAAAGAGCATAAAAAAAAAATATGTAAGTTTTTTTTCTTTTTCACTAAATTGTAATAATAAATGCATGCTAACAAAAAGCAATTGCCGAAATCACTAAAAAACAACTCCATTTTGATTTTATTTTTTCACCATTGAAACTCGATTGTTAGTCGTTAAAAATCACGTTAGTACGTCACAACAACTTTAGAATATCTACTTCGATTTTCAAGTAAAAAAAAGTCGTGATTAAATAGTTAAGTTTTAATCAAATTTTTTTAATTAGTTTTGCAAAAACAGTATAATAGCATTCGGTTTAAAGACGTCGTTAAAAAAAAGTTATAAGTAATAGTTTTAAATAGTTTAGAACTTATAAAAAAGTCTTACAGGGCTCGTATTAATCGCGATCGCGATTGCTACACACACTTTTGTGATTAATTTTTTCTTAAAAAAAATCTTTTCGCGACTCATTTTTTTTTTTGGTTGATTAATTACTTTTTTTCAAGCTTAGCATTTTTTTAGCAATTCTTGAAAGTAATGTTTTTATCATAAAGAAAGTCACACAAAATTTATTATTCTGAATAGATAGATGAATAGATGATTTGCTCTTTCGCGCGGAGATTTTTTTTGAACGTAATTCATTTTTGAATTTAAATTACTTTAAATCTCTGCGTGGAAAATTTTTACAAGGTCGTCAAAGCGAAAAGTTGAAAAGTTGGTTTTTATCTTTGTTTATCAAAACTTCATGTTTAAAATAAGGCTTAAAAACGTTAAAGCAAAAAAAATTACTGACTTTTATTTGCATTTTTATACTGTTTGAAAAAAAAAAAACTAATAAAAAAGAATTAATATATAATTATTAATTAATATATTATTAGTTAATTCTTTTTTATTAGTTTTTTTTTTCAAACAGTATAAATATGCTAATAAAAACCAGCAATTTTTTTACTTTAACGTTTTTAAGCCTTATTTTAAACATGAAGTATAATTCGATTTATTAAACCAAATTTTTTTGTTTTATCTTATATTGGAAAACTTGAAATAGAAAAATTGAATAAAAACATCAACCATTTAAATGAAAAACTTAATTATATTTAAACTTTTATTAGTCCTTTATTCAAGAAACAATAAATTATAAAAAACGTGGTATCTAAGTTTTTGACGATGTTTTTTGATTTATTGACGATAACTTTTCCCTCCCATTACCGCACATCGGCGCGAGCTATAAGAGAGAGGGGGGGGAGGGGGAGAGAGCAAAAAAAAAAAAAAATTTTTCGCGATTAGATTTTTTTGCATTAATTCGAGCCTTGTCTTAGATTAATTTCTAATAAAATGTCTATTCAACCTTATCAATTTGAACCAAAAAAATATAGCAATTTAACATAAATGTTAATTTAACTAAAACATTTTGCAATCATTATTTTTTTTATCAAGCAAAAATAAGAGTAACCGTCACTTTTGAAACCATAAAAATTACTGAAATAAATTTATTTTTTTACTAAGGAAATATTTTAAATAAACTTTCATATGTCTAAGTCAATATTCATTTGTTTTTAACTGACTAAAAAGAGTTTAAAATTTGACTTCTATTCATTTTTAGTCGTGGAATTGCCCTTATAACACAAATATATAAATTAATATTATAAAAAAAATTTTAATATACAAATATATTTTCACAAAATGCTACAAAACTTATTCTTGTAAGTAATTATGTGTTAGTTGAAAAAAAACGACTTTACTTTTAAATTTAATTACCAACTAATAAGATTGCAATAATGACATTTTGTCTACTTTGTTTAATTTGACGTACAAACGTTAGTTTTTTGAGGCAGTAGAGTCAATAAACTTTGGACAAGACGCTTTTTTTTTAATCGAAGAAGAGCGTTTTTTTGAAAATTAAATTTATTAGTGTGTGTTCATTATTACGTTTTAGAAAAAATAATATACATCAAACATTTTTTTTTTTATGCTCTTTCATATGAGATCATATCTTTATAGCACTTAGGGATCCCTTTAAGAAACACAATAGAATTTCAATATTTAAAGTTTGTATTTCTAACAAAGGTTTTAATTCTTCATAGAGGGAAAACCATTTATGACATTATTAGAGATTGTATTAAAGATATAAGTTTAAAGAATCAAATAAAAATAAGCTTCTGTTTATTTGCGTAAACCATTCTTTTTCAGAAATTACAGCCTAATAAAATAAAAAAAGACACTAAAACCCGGAATATTGCTGACGTTGTGCTTAACATAAAAAAAAAAAAGTTAATTTCTGCACAAAGAGAATCACCTGCCATTATTGCTTCGAAAAGTATTTTTGTTTTTATGCCTATATATAAAAAATTTAAAGAATTTTTAAATTTTAGATTTTCTTAAAAGCATAGTTATTGAAAAAACCCAATCATCTAAATTTCTTGGTTATCAACAAATAATCATCTCGGAAAGTTTACATAAATTTGATTAATAAGAAAATATAAAAAAACCTTTTTGCAAGTGTCTACTTTTTAAAGCTAGATCTTTACAATCATATAAAAACTTAAAATTTCTTTATTTTTATTTATATATTTTATTTATAGGTATAAAATACTTATATGTTAGATATAAAACGCGCGTTTGTTAGATATAAAAATTATTTTAGATATAAAAATCTAACATACGCGCGTATGTTAGATAACTTTTTATTTATATATATAATTATAGGTGATTATAAGATAAAAATAAAAAAGTTTTAAATTTTTTACGATTGTAAAGGTTAGCTTTAAAAAGTAGATACTATCAGCATACACCGATATAGTATGGACATATAAAATTTTTTATAAGAGTTTGATCTTTATGTTTAATGTTCAAATTTATGTGAAAGTGTTACCTAATTTAACTGAAATTTTTTTTATTTTTTATTTTTTAATTAACTGAATTTAACTGAAAAAACTTTTCAATTTCTATTTCAAGTGTGGCACCGAAGTCGAAGACTTAGACCATCTTCTGTTTTTCTACGGGAGAACGAAAAATAATCACTTGAGTATCCGCAGTTTTCCTTCGAACAAATTAAAACTTATACTACATATGCTCCCATGATCGTTAAATCATTCGCATGCATTGTGATACCTCGAGAAGCGAAACACTTAAACAAAGGACCGTTAATGCGTCGCACTTAGTATAACCCTCTCAAATAACATTTCCTACATTTGAAAAACAACCTACCTTTACTAGACAACAATTTTACTAAAATCGAATACCAAATTCTAATTTAAAATGAAAGGAAACAAAGTAATTAAAATTTTAAAAAGTATTTCTTTTTGTGCATATAACTAACAATGTTTTAAATCAAACTCAGTTTATTTTCCGAACTGGTCAAGTCATTTGATATTATCTTTATATTAAAACATTGGCTTTTAAATATGGAATTCTATTTGCTCAATAATATAGCAAAGCTGACACATAAAGTATTTTTTCATGCGGAAAAAAAAAAAAACATATTGAAGACCATTGTTAAAAAAGATTGAGGAGGAATCTCTTACAAAATATGGGTAACAATTAAACCTTATTACGTAAATTATAAAAAACTATGAAGATGTTAGGGAATGTCTTATTGCTGGAGATTTTCAGCCATACCCTGAAAAGATCTACGACTCTGAGTGTCTTAATAACAAATCACGCAATAAATTCTCTAAACCTCTTTCTACTTTCATTAAATCAAATAAACTCTCGCTCATCAATATAATCAATGGCGCTAGTCTAACATACACCTATCAGCATAAAAATCTCTCTTACTCACCTTTTATTGACCACATTGCAGCACTAAAAGAGTCATCGTTATCCTTTATAAATACCAAAATTTTTCCTCCTTTGCCATTTAACTTAGTTAATTACTTACCAATTGCTACAAGCCTCGCCATTACACATACTAAATTATCAACCGTATTAAATAGCATAACACAAAAATACAGATATATTCCAAATATGCATGAAATAACAAAAACTTTATTAAAATATATAATCAAAATCTATCCTTAGCTTTCAATAGCTACTCCTTCAATGAAGAAAAAATCGAACAAGAGTTGATGCAAACATGCGAACAAATTAAAAATGCTGTTTAAATAGCTTTTAAACAGTGCTTTGAACAACACTTAACCTGTATTCTAAATTGTGGTGGACAACGGAACTTAAAATATGCAAAAAATATCTTTCATTTAATTATAAACAAATGGTAAAAATCAAACTATAATAAGCGACAAGAATGCATGGAGTACTAAAGATACATTATAGCAGGTAAAGATTTTCGTAAAGGTCCATGAAAAAACAATAAATATTGAAAATCTGAGAACTGCAAATTCTCAGAAGTTCTTGGACAACATTTATAAATTCAATACCAAAGCAAGTACGAATAAAAGACGTCTTTTTTATGACCTGTTACGTTGGTTATTTTACGCAAAAAAGTTGTACAGAATTCAAATTTAAAAGTAAAAAAAAGTAAAAAAGTGACTATGATAAATCTTTGCATTACTTTAGATTATGTTGTTGTTTGAACAATTTTAAACACAACAGGTTTTTAGGATTTTTATTATCAATTCTTAACAACTTCTTGGTTTTTTTATATCCATTTCTTTGTAGGATCTCTTAACTTATTTTCAACCTTTTCTTCATATGACACAAGCTTTCTTAATGCTTTAATAACCACTTTTTCACATCATACAATCTTTCTATGTCTCATACAGCTAACCTTACCACTTTCTCGCATAACTTAACTGAACAACAGCCTATTGCAAATCAATTTTTAATTCCAAAAAAAAACGAAACTATGCCTTAATAATGCATGACATAAATATTAGTACACATTTCTTCACTGAAATAAAAATTAGATCATATTTTTGGCAAATCTTCTTAATGATTTTCTTATAACATTCTTAATTATCGAAATATATATATATATATATATATATATATATATAT